GTGCTTTACTTTGACGCCTTGAACACCAGAGCGGGGGGAGATCAGTGTCCAGGAGCCTCAACTCAGAGCGACAAGAGCCACCGAGGGAGCCTCAAGTCCTCTACAGGACCAGCCCAGGAGCCGGCAGCTCAGCTGATGCAATCAGCTGACTCACCGGGGGCGGAGCCAGGAGGAACAGCGCTAGCCCTGACTGGTTTAAAACCTGCCACAGGGAGCGCGAGCGACCAGGAGCGCGTCAAGGCAGTTCACGCGGGCAGGCGAGCACTCGCCGTATGACCAGGGCCCGGTCTGGGAGCTCTGCTCTGGCTGGCCCTGCGGTGGCCGCCGTAGGCACTCAGAGCCGATGAGAGGGGAGGCTGCAGTGCAGACTTCGGGGTGTAGAGAGTGCCTGCACTGCTCTGGTGAGGGAAAGGTACACAATGGGCAGGGCTGCACTGGGTGCTCCCTGGTGGAGGTTCTCCTGCAGCAGGTGGCTGAGCTGCGGGAAGCTATTAATAGGCTACAAGATGTCAGGGTAGCTGAGAGAAAACAGGAATGCTTGCTCCCTGCCCAAACTGTGCAGAGTCCTCAAGCTTCCCCTGTAGCTCATGGAGGAAAGAAGGAGGTTGTTAGCTCTCAAAGCTGGGAATTGGTGACAAAGAAAACCAACAAAAAAAGGAGGAGAAGGACAATTAAAAGCAAGGGACTTCCTCCTAAACCTGTTGCCCCCACACAGAACCGCTTTGCTGTCCTGCAGGGGGCTCATGCCAGAAACAGCTGGCTGATACACTAGTAAAGAAGATTTCTACTGGTGCTGCCAGGAAAAAGCGGCGGGTCGTAGTGGTAGGGGATTCTACTTTGAAAGGGACAGAAGCACTCGTCTGTCGGCCTGACCCGGTCTCAAGGGAGGTGTGTTGCCTACCAGGGGCACGGATCAGGGATGTGGCAGAGAGGCTGCCTGCTCTGGTAAGCCCCACGGACTATTACCCACTTCTGGTGATACATGTGGGTGCTAGGGATATAGATAGTAGTAGCCTGGGGAGCATAAAGAAGGACTACAGAGCCCTGGGAGAGGTGGTTAAGGGCTCTGGAGCTCAGATAGTCTTTTCGTCTATTCTCCAGGATACAGGGGAGGACCTAAAAAAAGCTAGGAGGATTAGCCAGGTTAATAAATGGTTAAAAGGGTGGTGTCACAGTCAGGGGTTTGGGTGTCTTGAACATGGGACCCAAGTTTGTAGGCCAGGTCTAGCAGGGGCTGGTGGAGCTGGTCCTATAAAGAAGGGGAAGAGCAGTTTTGGTAGGAGGCTTGCCAGACTGGTCAAGGAGGCTTTAAACTAGATGTGTTGGGGGAGGGGGGCATCATTCCATCCCAACACACCCAGTCAGTTGCCAGCACCTATAATAAATGCTCGGAGCAATGCAGAGATATTCCGCTGCTCCAGCCAATGAGCCGGCTTCATTTGGAGCTCGGCTCAGATGCCTCTATACAAATGCCCATAGCATGGGGAACAAACAAGAGGAATTAGAGATGTGTGCTCGTCTACAGGGGTATGATATTATAGGCATCACAGAAACATGGTGGGATGGCTCCTATGACTGGAGTGTTGGAATGGAAGGTTACAGACTCTTTAGAAAAGACAGGCCTGGCAGGCGCAGAGGGGGAGTTGCCCTTTATGTTAGGGATAGGCTGGAGAGTATGGAACTCTGTCTGGGGACTGGTGAGCAGTTAACAGAGAGCTTGTGGGTCAGGGTTAAAGGGAAAACAGTGATGGGAGACATTACTGTGGGGATCTGTTATAGACCACCTGATCAAGAGGAATCTGCGGATGAAGCACTCTATAGGCAGATAGGAAAAGCCTCACGCTCACAGGCCCTCATTCTCATGGGTGACTTCAACCACCCTGACATCTGTTGGAATGATGGTACGGCCCGGCACAAGCAATCCAGGAGGTTCCTCGATTGTGTGAAAGACAGCTTCCTTCTGCAAGTAATAGAGGAACCGACAAGGAGAGGTGCCATGCTTGACCTTGTGCTCAACAACAGGGAAGGGCTCGCTGGAAATGTGGCACTGCAGGGCAGCCTTGGATGCAGCGACCACGAGATGGTTGAATTTGAGATCCTCAGGACAGTGAGAAGAGCATGCAGCAAGCTCACTGCCCTAGACTTCAAAAGAGCAGACTTTGGCCTCTTCAGGAACCTGCTTAGTAAGGTTCCATGGGATATAGCCCTAGAGGGCAGGGGGGCTCAAGACTCTTGGTTGGTCTTCAAGGATCACCTGCTACAAGCTCAGGAGTGTTGCATCCCAACTAGAAGGAAGTGCAGCAGGAGGGCCAGGAGACCTCCTTGGATGGATAAGGAGCTCCTGAGGAAAATTCAAATGAAAAAAGAGTTTTATAGAAAGTGGAAGCAAGGACAGGCGGCCTGGGAAAAGTACAAGGATGTTGTCCGGGAAGCTAGGGACGAGGTTAGGAAAGCTAAGGCCAAATTAGAATTAAACTTGGCTAGGGATATTAAGGATAACAGGAAGGGATTCTACAGGTACATAGCAAATAAAAAACAGATTAGGGACAACGTAGGCCCCCTCAGGAAGCTCTTGGGTGAACTAGCTACACAGGATTTGGAGAAGGCTGAGGTTCTGAATGACTTCTTTGCCTTGGTCTTCTCTAGCAAAGGCTCTGACTGCACCACCCAAGTCTTGGAAGGCAGATGCAGGGACTGTGAGAATGAAGACCTTGGGCCCAGTGTAGGAGAGGAATTGCTTCAAGACCATCTTAAAAATCTGAATGTGCACAAGTCCATGGGTCCTGATGAAATCCATCCATGGGTCCTGAAGGAGCTGGCGAATGAAGTTGCTAAGCCACTGACCAGCATATTTGAAAAATCATGGCAGTCAGGTGAAGTTCCCGACGATTGGAGAAAGGGAAATATAACCCCCATTTTCAAGAAGGGGAAAATGGATGACCCAGGGAATTACAGACCAGTCAGTCTCACCTCTGTGCCTGGCAAAATCTTGGAGCAGATTCTCCTGGAAGGCATGCTAAGGCACATGAAAAACAAGGTGCTTGGTGACAGCCAGCATGGCTTCACTAAGGGGAAATCCTGCCTGACCAATTTGGTGGCCTTCTATGATGGGGCTACAGAACTGATGGACAGGGGTAGAGCAGTTGATGTCATCTACCTGGACTTGTGTAAAGCGTTCGACACTGTCCCACACGACATTCTTGTCTCTAAATTGGAGAGACATCAATTTGATGAATGGACCACTCGGTGGATAAAGAACTGGCTGGATGGCCGCACACAAAGAGTTGTGGTCAATGGCTCAATGTCCAGCTGGAGACCAGTAACGAGTGGTGTCCCTCAGGGATCGGTGTTGGGACCGGTCTTGTTTAACATCTTTGTCGCTGACATGGACAGTGGGATTGAGTGCGCCCTCAGCAAGTTTGCCGATGACACCAAGCTGTGTGGTTCGGTTGATACGCTGGAGGGAAGGAATGCCATCCAGAGGGACCTTGACACGCTTGTGAGGTGGGCTGATGCCAACCTCATGAAGTTTAACCATGCCAAGTGCAAGGTCCTACACCTGGGTTGGAGCAATCCCAGACACAGCTACAGGCTGGGCAGAGAAGAGATTCAGAGCAGCCCTGCGGAGAAGGACTTGGGGGTGCTGGTCGATGAGAAAATGAACATGAGCCAGCAGTGTGTGCTTGCAGCCCAGAAAGCCAACCGTACCCTGGGCTGCTTCAAAAGAAGTCTGACCAGCAGGTCGAAGCAGGTGATCCTGCCCCTTTATTCTGCTCTTGTGAGACCTCACTTGGAGTATTGTGTACAGTTCTGGTGTCCTCAACATAAAAAGGACATGGATCTGTTGGAACAAGTCCAGAGGAGGGCCACAAGAATGATCAGAGGACTGGAGCACCTCCCATATGAAGATCGGCTGAGAAAGTTGGGACTGTTCAGCCTGGAGAAGAGAAGGCTGCATGGAGACCTCATAGCAGCCTTCCAGTATCTGAAGAGGGCATACAGGGATGCTGGGGATGGACTCTTCATTAGGGACTGTAGTGATAGGACAAGGGGTAATGGGTTAAAACTTAAACAGGGGAAGTTTAGATAGGATATAAGGAGGAAATTCTTTCCTGTTAGGGTAGTGAGGCACTGGAATAGGTTGCCCAAGGAGGTTGTGAATGCGCCATCCCTGGCAGTGTTCAGGGCCAGGTTGGACAAGGCCTTGGGTGATATGGTTTAGAGCAAGGTGTCCCTGCCCATGGCACGGGGGTTGGAACCTGATGATCTTAAGGTCCTTTCCACCCCTAACTATTCTATGATTCTATGAAATATGCCTAATTCACGGTACTTAAATAATTGTCAGAGAAACAGAATAGGAGTCACTTTTGAAATTCCTAGACTTTTAGTCTATCTGGTTCAATTTTTTCTCACACACAGGTCAGAACCAGGATTTTCAGAAAAAAATGGGTAGTCAAAAGCAAGAAACCTGGCTCCACACCACATTCCACCATAACACCCAGCAGAGACTCATTTTGAGACATACAATCCCTTTACCTTTTCTAGCCTCTTTGTGGAGTTTAACTTAATGAATTTCCAGATACGTTTGCTATCCACAAACTCCCAAACCAGCCCTGGCTCTTGTCAAAGGACATTTGTCAAAGCCTCAAAGGGAGCTGCCACCATCTGCAGGACTCTCTCAGCACTAGGGACTCAGCCAGCTTCCCAGGACATGATCTAGCCTCGAGGGAACAGGGACAAGCTGAACGTCTCCATAGCTACAGGCCAGAGGACAGGTGCGCTTCTTTCAGTCAGGTTATGCATGCTTGGTTCTTACTGACAGCTCCTCTTAGTGGCCAGCAAGGCTCATTTAAAGCATTGCCTTCCTCTCAAAACTACTGCTTTACTTGAGCTGTGGACAATAGGGATCTTCTCCACTGATTAGCATCAGCCTGGTTCGTGATCCACAGCTAGGACATCGTCAGCTAAAATGGCAAGTCTGAATTCCAGCAAGTGCTTACCTCAGTATCTGTAAGGACCGGGGCTTTGGTTTTTCTTTCTCCTTTTCCCGGTCCCTGTCCCAGTCCCTGTGCTGCCTGTCTTTTTCATCTCTCTTCACCCGTTCTCGCTCCCGTTCCCACTCTTCTTTCCGCCGCTGGCGTTCCTTGTCGCGCTCCCGTTCCCTTTCCCGTTCTCGCTCCCGCTGACGCCGCTCCCGTTCCCTCTCACGTTCCCTTTCTCGTTGTCTGTTCTCTCTCTCCCGTTCCCGCTCTCTTTCCTTTAAAAAGGAAAGAGAAATCACCATGACGTTGTGGCAACATCTCCTAACAAAGTGGGCAGCAAGGATTCAAAGTCTTGGACCACAAGGAGTTACATTCACCCTCCCATGTTAGAGCAAAGTATTGAGATAGATAAATGTGGAGCTTGCTGGCCATCTCTGTTTGCTGAGCAGGCAGAAAGTGGAAAGGAACAAAGCATACATCATACTCATCACAGCTGTAATTTTCAAAGGCAAGAGTCAGATTAATTTAGCTTATTACACTTATTAAATATATGTATTGATGTTTACAAGTATTTACTCTCATTGCTAAGCATGTTTAGCTAATTAACTGTACAAACAAACACCATGAAAATAATTGATGGTGCAGCAATAGCGAGGACAGGCTCCTGTTTGTGCACTGCTTCTGCATAACAGCAAGGTCTTCCAGGCAAAGTCAAATGTTAAAGGACGTGACAAATACCACTGAAAAGCTCTCCACTGAACAGGATTTATTATTTTTTGTCACTACTCTCGAGGAACAATAGTTTGCACGAGAGCAAAAGGAAGTGGAGGGAAAAGGTTCATAGCCTTATTTTAATGTAGCTTGACACCTTACATCAGTGCAACACCAACCAACAGTATCTGGGATTTCAGTAACTGGCTGGGTGGTTTCCTCACCTAACTCGATCAATTAACATGTAACCCCACCAGTGGTGGACAGTCATGATGGAGCCTCTGTCTGTGCATTAAGCACGCCTGTCCAGATTCAATCCTTTCTGTCTGTCCCAATAACTAACAAGCAAACCTCAGCCAGGTTATTTCCTGGAAACTCCCTCCCTCTCCAATATGTCCAAGAATGGCTGCAGATGTGCCTGCAGCTGTTGCACAACTGCCTGCTATGCAGAGAAGCAGCCAGTGCATGTGAAGAGGAACCATCTTCCCATCTCAGACATGCTTTTGCCTTCATCACGCTGAAACAGAACCTCCTCCCATCCCTACACCTAATGTCTTCTGTGCAGTAATTGTCAAGGTTTAACTATTTGTACGATTAAGCATCTTGAACATCCATCACAAGTCCTGTTTCAACCACTGCACTAGAAACATGACAAGCACCAGAAGTGCCTGGAAGAAAGCTGAAAGGAGAAGCACAGAAACTACTTACTCTGTAGTTACGATATGGATCTGGGTCTGCATACTGAACCCTGAAATTCTCATACTGCCCACCACGCCGGAACCGTTCTATTTCATAGTCATAATAGGAATCTGTATAGGGATCAAGCCTACAATGAAAAAACAGGGAAGGTTAGATAGGGAAGCATCACGTTGTTGGCACACAGAAACACTATGTATTCTAGCTCAGGTCTTAGTCACTATGCACTGACAAGAAAAAACATGATCAATGGAATATGACTGTACAAAGTGGTTTATTTTCTACATATCCCAAACAGACAGGAATTTTTAAGTGAATCTTATCAGAGAAAAGCACAAACCTCTCTTGATAAACACAAAAGAAAAATGCTAAAAACTAAATTCAGCCTTCAAATCAATGTGGTAAAAATGATTTTTATAGCCACTTCAAACATATACAAATATAACAATATAATGTTTTGCCTCATTGATTTAGAGTTATATTTTACGTCAATGCACACAGAGATAATGTCAAGCACCTTCACATCAGAAGTGGAATGGATGGTGATTCCCTGCCACCGGAGGTGATGGGTGCATTCTGCTGCCACTAGCACAGGACATGAGCTGTTGTTGAGCTTTCCAGTTGGAGAAGCTAAGCTTCAGGGGCAGGCCAGCAATGCTCTGCCCCTGCATCTGGAATGACTCTATGAAATGAAGGTAACTGCATCTGCACCTGATATTCTCTGGTGGAAAACAGGTGCTGGCCCTCCAGCACACCAATGAACAGGTAAACACATGGCACACCCTGCCCAACTGCAAAAGTGTAGAAACTTTTGGGTTGAAAAAGGATTTAAACCAGACCCTCCTTAAATCTGCAATGTTTTCTCCATTTGATGATTTCTATCATTATTAGATGGTTTTAATTCACATACTCAGCAATATCTAATCCCTGTCAGCCATGTGGAGTGAAAATATCAGATCTGTTGTAAAGATGGGGAGATGGGTACAGGAAACAAGAAGTTTCCATGGTCACAGAGGAGTTAGTGGCAGAACTAAAACAAATGCTCCCAAATTCCAGATTATCCATAATGTCCTGGGTTTAGCAGTAGCAGTCATTTTTCTCCTTCTTGGTAGCTGATGCAGTGCTGTGTTTTGACTTTTGGGCTGGGAACAAAGCTGATAAAAATGATGTTTTGGTTTGGCCAAGGACTTTGTGAGCCTCATGCTCTGCCAGGGAGGAGGGGAAGCCAGGAGGAAGCAGAGACAGGACACCTGACCCAAACTGACCAAAGAGGTATTCCATACCACAGCACGTCATGCCCAGGAGGTAACTGGGAGTTACCCAGAAGGACAGGGGGTCTGCCGGGTCGGACTTGTTGTTTGGCAGGTGGTATTGTACTCTTTTCCCTTGCTATTATCTCTTATCATTGTTGTTAGTGGTAGTAGCGGTGGTGATTTGTGTTGCACATTGGTTACTAAACTGTTCTTATCTCAACCCGTGGGAGTTGCATTCTTTCTGATTCTCCTCTCTGTCCCTCCAGGAGTAGGGGGAGGGCAAGAAGAGGGGGGGAGTGGGTGAACAAGCTGTCTGGTTGGGGTCAAACCTCGACACATAATAAGACTGACTTGTAAGTAAAAGGAATAAAGGGCCCGCTTTTGCACTTTAAAAACTGCCGAATAATCTAAAACAGGCTATGATGTAAATGCTGCCCTGCAAATCAAGTGGCCATCTGTTTTGTGGGATTTTTTTCCTGAAAAATAAGCCAAGGGAAAGAGTACCAGGGAATCTTAAATATGGATGTTTAATCCAGCAAGAAACTCCTGATGCCAACCAGACAACAGTCTAGATTCAGTGACATCAGGTGTTCAAACAGACAAAAAAAATCTCATGCTACACCAAAAAAGAAACTCTACTTTTTAATACAGACATAAGTCCAATTTTCCCCATTCTCTCCCTATAACATTTGTGGACTTAGTAAATATTTAAACAAGCATCACTGATGTGCATTTAGATAATTCAGTGCTTAAATCCTTAGGCAAATAATTTGTATCACCCAAAAAATCAAATATATCCACTGTCTTGGGTTCAGCTGTAACAGTTATTTTTCTCCTTAGTAGCTGGTGCAGTGCTGTGTTTTCAACTTTAGTCTGAGAACAACACTGATAACACAGAAATGTTTTTCGTTGTAGCTGAGTAATTGCTTACTCTGATCAAGGACTTTTCAGTCTCATGCTAGGCCAGTGAGGAGGGGCACAGGAAGCCGGGAGGAAGCAGAGACAGGACACCTGACCCAATCTAGCCAAAGGGGTATTCCATACCACAGCACATCATGCCCAGTATGGGGGAATTAACCAGAAGGCTGAGATTGCTGCTCAGGTCAGTCTGGGTATCAGTTGGCAGGTGGTGAGCAATTGTATTGTGCATCACTTGTGTTTATTGTTTTCTTTTCCTTTCCCCTTTTAGTTTTATATTCTCTCCCCCTGTTATAACTCTTTTCTTTAGTAGCAATAGTAAGCATAGTTTTGTATTATATCTTAGTTACTGGACTGTTCTTATCTCAACCCGTGGGACTAATATTCTTTCGGTTCTCCTCCCCCTTCCTTTGAGAGCGGGTGGGGGAAGAAGGGGGGGAGTGAGCGAGTGGCTGTGTGTGGCTTAAACCACAGCAGTCCTTTGTGGCGCCCAACGTGGGGCTGGAAGGTTTGAGATAGCAACAGATCTGACCAGAGTGTGTCTAATCATATCTGTGATAAGCATTCATTATTTCGGATTAATAGACACTCGTCACAATGTTGATATATTTGCCCTCAGAGTTGTTGCACTTGGTCTCACAGTTGTTACACTTGGTCTCAGAGTTTCATTATGTCACACCTTATTTTCAACCGGTATTAGTGTTTATCAGCTTTGGGGCATGGGCTAAGATTCTCGTTTCACTGTACGATAATGTCTTGTAATACAACAGAATTATTGATCATGAAACTGCTCTGGTATGTTGTTCTCAGTGTGGACGTTACCTCTATACTTCAGGAGGCGTGTAATGGGAACTGTTAACAATTACACCTCTTTTTTACCCCCTTGGAGGATCAACCTATGAGGGAGACATCCTCTCATACCCTCTGCTCCCCCACCAGGCCATTTACAGCAGTACTTAAAAATATTAAAGATTTTGAATATCCTTTTAATGCCATTGAAACTATCCTGCTCCTTTTGCTGGGAATAGGCATGTTGCTGAATATGCTGCATGTGTTTTATCTATGGCCATACCACCCCGAGAACACCTGATTTCATCTGATCTCAGAAGTTAAGCAGGGTCAGGCTCAGGTCTTCTCTAAGGTTAAATGACTATCTAAGAATATCACCAAGAGATCTTCTCTGAAGCTGAACAGTCATGAGTGGCAGGGTGCTTGGGACAGTATGGGCAAGTATCTAGGCCAGCGGGCCCCTCCAGTGCTTTGGAACTTCACCCCTGAACAAGTGTGAAATCCAGAAAAACTAGTAAAACACTAAGACAGGGTGTTCTGTCATCCTGGCAATACCAGAGAACAAGTCACTGCAAAGTGCCGGGGCTTGGATTACGCATACAGAGTCCTGCTCTTTAAGGAACAGGAAAAAGATGTCTCTGGATCTGAAGGCAAAGCAAAAGACAACATGGCTGCTCCATCCCAAGCAACAAGCACAGCAGGTACTCCAACTCCAACAACAGACACTGCAGCCACTCCAACCCCAGTAGCAGGAACTGCAGCTGAACCAAAGGACCAATCCATGCCAATATTGGTTGCCCCTATAAGCAAAAGGAAAAGCAAAAGAAAAGCATGAAAACGAACTCACACAGTGAAAGAAAATGAAGACTCAAAGCATGAACTAGAGGGGGTGACATCTGAAAGAGAGGAACAGGAGGAATTAGTACAATAATCAGAGGAAGAGGCAACTTCTCGATCCCTGTCCTTGTCTGAACTGTAAAATACGTGAAAAGATTTCAGCCGTCTTCCAAGGGAGCACAGTCACCTGGTTGCTCTAATGCTGGGACAATGGGGCCGACAGTCACGAACTAGAAGGTAGGGAAGCCAAACAGCTGGGATCACTTGCTAGGGAATGGGGAATTGACAAAGCCATTGTGAAACAGAAATGAATCCTCAGCCTCTGGAGACAGCTCTTGGCAGCTGTGAAGGAAAGGTTTCCCTACAAGGAAGATATTATGTGTCACCCAGGCAAGTGGACCACGATAGAGAAAGGCCTCCAGTACTGGAAGGAATCAGCCATTCTAGAGGTGATCTATTGCAAGCCAGATGCTGGGAATACACCCATAGATCCAGATGAAGTCAAATGTACACAACCCACATGGCTGAAATTTACACAGAATGTGCCATCATCATATGCCCACTCATTGGCATCAATGACCTGGAGTGAGGCAGCACCATCAACAATGGATGAAGTGACTCTTCAACTCCGAGAATTCAAAGACAATCTCACCCCTTCCATTATTTCAGCTGAGGAAAAACTGGCCCCGGAGCTCAAACAATTGAAACGCAATCTATCCAGCTCCCCACATGTACAGACCGCATCTCAGCCATTAACAGAAAGTGCCCTACTGCTCAAGAGAGAAGATATAGGTGGTACATGACTCAGTTCTGGAGGAACAGGTGCGTGAATTGAAGAGGAAAATGACGGTCAAGGATGATCCTCCCAAGAAAGTTGCTGCTCCTGTGTCTGGTGAGCAGTTTCCCAGATAGAGTGAAAGACCTGATTTTACTTCAACTCCTCTGACTACGAAGTCCAATCCCTTTGTAGGAGAAATAAATGGAGAATCTTATGATTGCCATTAGAGGGGCCCTGACTCAAGTCAGGTGGAGAAGAGGGACAATCAGGTTTACTGGACCGTGTGGATCAGAGGGCCTGGCACATCAGTCCCACAAGAGTATAAGGCTCTAGTAGATATCGGTGCACAGTGAACCCTGATGCCATCAAGCTACCAAGGGGTAGGACCCATTTGTATTTCTGGAGTGACAGGAGGATCCCAAAAGTTGACTGTACTGGAAGCGAAAATCAGCCTGACTGAGAAGGAATGGCTGGTCTAGACTGGTCTAGAAACATCCATGCAATAGTCATTTGGAGAATTAAAGTAAAAAAATGAGATCGTGAAGCCCAGTGCCCCCGCACCCCCACAAACCTCTGCT